AGCTTTGAGGAAGTACATATATTCCTGGCAACATTCACGTGTTTTCTTGTGAATACTTAAGACTTTGTCATAACTCAAAGATATTTGATGACGTACAAAAATATCTGGATATAAGGCTTTAAGAAATGGTTCTCTGACTCTGGCTTTGTCTAACCCTGAAGTATTTATCCTTATAGTAAAAGGTATATATTTCCTTGAAGATTGAATAGTTGATGTCTGTGGAATGGAAGACGTATCAGGAATACTTGGTGGTTCAACAAGGACTGGTTCAAGTTCAGCTTTAAGGTCAGACTGAAATAGAAAGCTAAATTCATTTTCATCCATATCAGCTTCAAAGTCAAATAGAATATCATCAGATTCATCAGCTCCAACTTCAAATTCAGCATCGTAGTCCAGAACTCCACCAATTTCTTTAGAAAACATTTCATTGAAACCAACGTTTACTGACAAACCCAGTAGCATCCTTGTTTCTACTGTGAAGACTTTCGACTTTTCAACCATTGGCTCGATCTTTGGGTCTATAGCAACTACCATTTCCAAGCCTCTAATCGTTTCACTTTCACCATCTTCAGCAGGCTTTGAACATTAAGTTCTTTTGCATCTTCACTTCCAGATAGCATCACTTCCTTACCCCTCGAAGACTCAACCACATTATGTTTCTTCTTATCCCCCTCATGGTGATCAGGATCGTCCTGATCATCATGTCTTCCTTTAAGAGAAGTGGCTTGACCTCAAAAGTGTTCTATAAACATAAAACACGTTCAAACAACAATTCACTTAAAATTTGCATGTTAGCAATGGAGTGGGTAGAGGTAGCTATTGTAGAACCAAGCTTTGGCAAGCTGGAAACTACAAGACTTTGGAAGTTGGAAAACTTTGAAGATCTAACTGTATGGGAATCATCCAATGATTATCTAAGCATACCGACTATATCTGCATCCATCGAGTTCATGTTTGGTTCAGATATCATCTTCGCATATAGCATGGACATCAAATCATCCACAAAATAGTTTGGTTCTGCTTAAGTTTGGGGTGCAGGTGGCGGCTACGGTGCACACCTTTCTTCCTCAACCGGTTGCTTACCCTTTAATAATCTCATTAATCCATTAATTTATGTCACTAAAGTATCCTGAACAGCCTTAGGTAAACTAACACCTGGATCACTTAGATTGGCAATTGTAAGACAGTTGAATAAATTGTTGTGCCAACATTCAATGCTGGAATGTCGTTAATTTTGGTAGGACTTCTGACCTGTCCTCGTAGATAGTAAGATGACTCTACTCTGGTCGTTTCGGCTTGTTCAGAAAGAACAGCGGATGGAGCAACAGATGCTCCTAACTCAAGTGTACCTAAAATGTGTATTGGCTCTATACTCGATGTGTAAACAAATGAAGTCATAGACTAGGGCAGGTGTCTACTTGTTGCAATATCTTGTTCCTCCGAGTGAGAAACAGATAGACTTTGTAGTTCATCCCAGTGAGAATTTGAAACTAACACCTGTTGAGAGGTGTTAGAGTGTCTAGGAGAGGTGTACAATTGCATAGTTGGGCGGGCTTTGTCTTCTTCAATGCTGACATTTAACGAATGAATCCCAAAAACAGATGTGGGAACCCGGTTGTATAGGTTAGGTAGGAATTGATATTTCTTTTTCTTTTCCTTGCACACTCTCACCATCTTTTTCTATTTCTCGTTCACTCAAACTCTCATAATTTTCAACTTGTTCGCCATCATCCGTCCTTATACCATCAAATAGACGATCGATTTCACCAAAATCATAAAAATATTCGCCAAAATCAAAATCCATTAAAGGAATGTCTTGAAGATTAGAAAAGTGAACTTTGTCTAAATTTTGATCATCTTTATTTCATTGATCATTGTCATTTCTATAACACCCCACTTTCCACATTTGCATATAAACATGTACTTAATATAAAAGAAATACAATTTACACCACATTGGTCCCACGAGTACAAGAAACTTATATTACAAAATTTACAACTCAAAAAATCCCAAAGAATGTTCTTGTACAATCACATGCATAACAACATGCATCTTCCAAATACATCAATCAACAAGTTGATCTTCAAAATAGCAGATAAGCACATAAGGAATATATTCACATTTTTCCCTTTCCCTTTATTATCCCTGGATGCAGCTAGACCTGCATTGCGTATTTTAAAATACAAAATAAGGTTTAGACCATGAGGTCAAGTGAGATAACCTTCTTCTTTGCAATTACAGGGTGAAGATCACCAAAACCCGTTTAACATTCACATTTGAATATCAAAACACTTTAAATGTAATATAACTTCAGGAAAACAAAATTGCAAGTTATAAAATGATCTTACCACACAAGGAGGATAACCACTCAGGTTATTATAGACATCTGGAATACAACTCTCAAACCTCAGAAGTCATACCTGATCATAACTTATGGTCTCAACCTCCACGATCATTTAAAAGAGTAACAATAAATAACAATCACCGAAGTTCTTGGTTATTACCAAAAACTTTTAAGATATAATCAGATTTAAATTTAAATGAAAACCGATTAAATAATAACAAATGACCCACCGAGTTTTATTGCAAATCACTACTCTTTGGATTACTCAAAACATGATATCACAAAATCATTTGAAAACAAAGGAAATTAATGCCTCTGGCTATAAGCAGATTTTCTCTTCTCAATAACATCATTGTTATCATTTCAATAAGAACGATATTTCTAAGTCATACAGTCACAGCTAAATGTTGATTTACAATTATCACACCTTATTGATATAACAAGAGTAACAATAATTAACACACCCACAAATGCCACCCTTTTATTCATATGTACACCTCTCCTTGATATGCCACCCTTATTCCATGGTACACCTCTCCTTGATATGCCACCCTTATCCCATGGTACACGTCTCCTTGATATGCCACTCTTGTTTCCACCTCAAATCTACAGATAAATCTGTAGTTTTAGACAATAATGGCCTCAAAATAGTTTCTTATCAGAAACTTTATCTCAAGAACTCTCATAGTTCTTAAATTCACTTTTTTTTATCTCAAATATCTTTCAAAACAAAGTTCTCCTGATAATAGTTTGAAAGAAAACAACAATATCTTCCTCAAATTAAATCAATATTTGAAAGACTAGTGGTGTACCCGTGCGATGCAGCGCGGGTGAATCACAATTCTAAAATATTAGTTTAGTCTTGAATCATGAGTTTGTGTGGTTATTTTGCAAGTCAACTAAGTTTAAGGTTAATATGGTGCATTAGCAATATCGAATGGAAACATAAAGTTGAAGATCATCTAATGGTTTTGTCAATAATCACCAAGGTGAAACTGCAAGAAAACATTATTGTCGCATCCCAAAAATAGCCGATTGTGTAGTTTCTTTTTCAAAATCGCAACTGAGAGAGGGGCAACATCCTGTATGGATGCAAAAAGAACTCCATATATCAAACASAAATTTGGATCAATTTAGGTACAAAGGTGAGTAAGCATTTGATCCTCAAAGTGTTGGTTTGAGAATRGAAAAKATATYGTCCAACATAAGCTGAAAACATTAGTTAGTTTATACATGATTTCTTAGTTGGGAGAAGTTACTCGCTATGGTTAGAAGAACATGGATCAATTTTAATGCTTGCACTATCTCAACACATTGTAAATTCCAGGACAAYGGGTGTTATTGGCTTAATGCAATCTCGTATTCCTCAAACATTTTATTAATTRGAATAACTRGCCCTGAATATRGTGCAAGAGTGTACCCGAATAATAAAGAATTAAAACTTGCTAYAACAAAATGGAATTTAATCAAATCATAAAGGCATTAGCCATAYATGGTTAAACAATCCTACGATTATTTCAGACCCGAAATTTATAGAAACCTGTTTATATGAAAGCATATAGAGCCTGTTGTCATATTGAAAAGGATGACTACAAAAAATTTGTCTTCAAAGAAGCTACCTTAAATTTTGACATGACACTAAGCTTCYGGGAATCCATTCCACCTGATTTATTTAGTGAACCAGCCACAGGCTTCTCAGGCTGAGAYCGCATATTCGAGGCAAATATCTAAGGAAGTTTGCATTTGCATGAAGACAGAAGTTGAATGGAATCAAAATKCAATAACACGATTTTTTTCCAGGAACCCGGTTGTATCATAAGTAACCTGAGAGGAACAAATGAGAACATAACTTTTAGACAACAAAAACATGTATAAAAACTCGRAAGTATTTAGCTTTTGTTCTTTTCATTCTAAACCAAATCAAGTATAAATAGTGGAAACAGGTGGATCAAGAAGAATGATATCTAAAAAATTGCATACTTCCCCAGCATAATGATGAACTATGAACGCTTTGCCTCGTTCTCCTCTAAAACAAGGATTASACTTCAAGTGTTGCTTTAGCTTGTTGGCAAATGACAAGTCTGTTCTATTCGGGAATGTGGATTCTTCATCTAAGAGACTTAGGGGCCGTTTACCTAAATATTTACCCGGTAAGCGCTTACGTTAAGAACTAAAACTATAAATTATTTTACCGGGTAAGATTGTAGTACATAAAAATGGTATCATATGCAACAATTTACCCGGTAAACACTTACCTGGTAAGAGTCGTCACTTTCACTTACCGAGTAAGAACTCTCCATCTTTATTATTGTTCTTACCGAGTAAGATTTTTGACTCTTGCCATGTTCATCGGTAAGAAAAATTACCCGATAATCACYTACCGGGTAAGCGTTTTGTAACGGCCYCTTAGTAATCTTCTAAGTTGGATGGTTGGTACTTGGTAGTAGTCGTCTTGGTTTCAGTCTGTTTGTAGTTCTAGTTGGTGATTGTGAATGTTAAGAAATTGATTTATGAAGAAATTAGTTAAAATTTATTTTTTTGCTTCAATGGAGAAAAAGTGTGATGTTTCTTAAGCTTAATTAGTGGTTATAATGATTCCATTGTCATGTATGGCATCATTCCGCAGGATACTAAACACTTAAATAATTAATTTAACTAACAGTAATATATCATCATCATCATTCACATTTCAGAGTGAGAAGGAATTAGGAATACATGGAGTTGGACTTTCTTTTTCTTTCCTATTTTTTATTTACTTCTACTATTAGTAAACAAAAGCAATTGGCCWCAAAATTTGTCCAAGCCACGACCTCTGTGAATAAAGTTCCACAGTGCTGTTTTGGCTTCCTCAAGCGTTTCAACCCCATGACCTTCTTCGAATGCTAACCTCTGTATGTTAAACTGCCACATACATACATACATACATACATATTACACCGATTAGCTTTAAAACAAAAAACAAAACTTCACTACTTACCTGTGCCCCTTGACGCACTCTAACATCTGTTCCCTTGCTGTCTATTGATATGAGTGCCGCATCATCAACCTCTTTTTCCAGTGATAACAGCTCTTTCAGGGGCTTTGAGAATATTGCATTCAGCTCCTGCCAAGCAATACATACATACATTTTCCATCATCTGCTTATCAGACAGCAGTTTTCATGTCAACCAAACCGAACCAAACATGSGCGGACCTTATGTGGTGGCATKGGTGGCACGTGCCAYCGTATTATTTCRCCGCCGAAGGRTAAAAAATTTAGGTTTGTTAACGGTGCTACCGTATCGTTTTAGAAGGTGCTACCGTATTTCCCTAAAATCCAAATGGTGCAACTAAAACCCAAACAAAACAAAGCCCAAATAACTAAAACCATACCTTTTGTAATTATTTTTGGGTATATATTGACCGTTTTCAAAAGATGAAGACGCGTCGGGTACAAGTTTAGGAGTTGTTTATCGTTACTTAGGGCTGTAAATGAACCAAACGAACACGAACAGAGGCTTGTTCATGTTCGTTCGTTTAACTTAACCGWACAAACGAACGAACACGAACGGTAAACGAATGAAAATCTTTGTGTTCGTGTTCGTTCGTTTAGAAATAAGGTGTGTTGGTGTTCGTTTATGTTCGTTCGTAAACATGCTAAACAAACGTAAACGAA